AGGACAGGATGATGTCATCTTTGTAAGTTTTTCAGCCAGTCTTCAGAAGGTATGTAAATGGCCTACACCTATGGCAAAGGTTATATGTAACTTTAGACCACTGCACGGTTTGTTATTATCTACAAGTGTCCCCTACCCTCATAGACAGTTTTTTTTTAATAAGGGTAAGCTAACCCTTTAAAGGGCAATTTTAAAATACACAATTCATTTTAATAAGATGCCTGAAACCTGCACATGAGGTGGCATGCTTGTAGAATGTACTACAACAAAAGTGACATTGAGAGAAAAAAACTATGGCCATTACACTTCCCAGCTAGCCATTTTTAGATATTGTGGGACATTATATTTTTGACATTGCAAGACATTATTTTTTTAACATGGTAATGAGCAAATCTGCTTTGGTTTGATTCGAGGGCAGGTTTGGTGAACACATCCAAAAATGTTTAAACTAGTATTTCTCTGTTTTCCATGCTAATAGTCAAGGAGTTGCAAAACAAAGGGCATGGGGAGCCAGGGTGAACATGTAGCAATGCATTTTTAAAAAATACCTTTTGACATTGAGCAGCTTTTTTGATAATGCTGACAGTGAAACATTAAAAATGTAAAATCTCTTAAATAACATGCTTGGGGGAAACCGTAAACCTGCCTGGGAAGTAGCTTACCTCTATGTACTAAAGCAAAAGTGACTTTTACAAAGGAAAAAAATACCATTTAAATCGTCAATCACCAAATGACATTGACATTTTGTAAACGAAGCATCCAGGGGTTCCCTTCATCTTTACCAGACCCTTATCCTAGATGAGGGCCTGGAAGAGATTGTAAGAGGGAACTTAGGATAAAAACACTGTGTGGGGTTGCCCGAAATCCTTGATGAGGGTTAATATGGATTTTAAAGGGGACCCCACAAAAAAAAAGGTTTGGGGTCTCCTCTAAAATTCACATGATGTTATTGAGGGACTGCACACAGAAATATCATAGGGTTCCTCTAAAAATCCATACCAGACCCTATTCCTTGATAAAGGTCTGATATGAATGTAATGCAAACAAAAACAACAACAAAAAAACAACAATATGGGGTTTTAGTATGAATTTTAAGGGAGCATCCCATTCATAAAACAAGCAAAAAAAGTATGAGGTACCCCCAAAATCCATAACAGAAATTTAGCTATTTTTGCATTATTAGTATCACATTTTCCAGCATTGTACAGTAAATTAATTAATTTGATGAGTTATACCCCAACAACCCGCTAACAAAAACCCCAATACCCATGTATGATAATCCTGCTCCGGACCGACTGCCACAACAGCTGACAGCTTCTGGAATTACTGCTGAATGTAAACAAGCTGGTGAAGCTGCCTGGTGTCATTGACCAAGTATGGCTGTAACCATACTTGGTCAGTAGTGTCACTTGGTATTGGCATCTCCTGGATGTCTTGTTTACTATGTGAAACAAGCTGGTGGGTGAGCCAGGAGTCCTTGATGGTGGTAACATTACCACTAAATGAATCAATAAAGAATTCTTGCAGCAGCAGCCAGAGATTCAGGTGGTTAAACAGGCCAGATCTGCTCATTTAGTTTGCCCACTCAGCAGACTAGAGTTTGGGTTGAATTCTCTGTAAAACTGAACTCAAACTCATCCTCTATCTACCAGTAGCTGTGGATGTTTGAGAGAAACTTCCAGCAGTTTAAGGTTGTCGCAAAAAGAACACCAGTATAAGATGGGAAAACGAGCACTCATAGGCTGACTGGAGAAACTTCTTGGATTTAACATATCCAGCATGAATCTACCAGCAGCTGTTGATAGTAGAAAAATCTTCCAGATAAAAAGAGAACAGCTGAACAGAACATGACCACTCTCCTGAGGTGGAGAGCAAAAAAACAGAGAACTTGTTGGTTGTGGGGGGGGGGGGTTATCATTTGTCATTTTTCTATAAGGGCTGCCTGGTGGCAAGGCAGCATAGCCAGGATAGGCTATAAAAGGTGTGACATGATCAATTCTTATTTGGCATCTTTGAACATCATTGTCATGCCAATCTCTATACAGCAGCGATATGCATAAAAGGAAATAATCAATAGTAAGGGAAAAGTACAACTCATGTTGCAGCCCTTACAATATTGAAATGACCACACGGTGAACATTTAATCAGTTCTAAATGTAAGATCTTAAGTTATTTACAAATGACAACCATTGTTACTCAGGAAATATATTTAAAGAGATATCAAATACTTAGAATAACTGATTTATCAGAAAAATGTAATACAAGTGCCTACTACTCTACCTACTGCTGATAGTCAGCAGTCTTCCATGACATACCGTGCTGGTCATCTCATGATGACACAATTGAAACTAACTACATTAATACATTAGCATGAAGAGATATAATTTAACAGCAATATGCCCTGTCTGGACATTTGATTAAATCTCTGCCATTCCCTTAACTGGCTGGATGAATTTATAGGAGTGATCCTAATGCCTCATTATGAAGCAATGCTTTAAATATGAGCTAAGTTTCTGTTCTTTTCACAGTATGATCTAGATAGCCGATTAATCTTTTTTATTGTTATTCAGCTTTCCATTTGAATCTCTTACAGCATTTATGTCATTTGAATATGTATTTTTTGCCATTTCTATTAATTTGTTTTAAAACTACCTTGTCACGCAGTCAAAAAAAACTGAAAAGCTCTTATTGCTTGATTAACTTTGGTGATGATTTCCTACAATTTTTAACTGTCTTTTTGGTTTTGAAAAAAGAGGGTTATTGAAACAGAAACAAAGTAAGAAAAAACATTAACAGAAATCACATCACTGCTGTCACAATAAGCAGGAAATTGTGATTGTTAGTGAGAAATGGATGTGATTCAAGCATTAGGAGTGATATAATAACTTTGCTTACACAATTTTAATGCAGCTTCTACATGTTTGAAGGCTTTTAAGCGTCAACATTTTAGAGATGAGTAACACTCCAAAGCCAGTCCGATAGCATGGCCAAAATGTTGTTTTATCCATGTGACAGAAAGGGTTAGAGATGCGTAACATTCAAAAGCCAGTTGGATAGCATGGCCAAAATGTTGTTTTATCTGTGTGAACAAATGGGAGTGAATGAGACAATATTTGGCTTCCACAAAAATGAAAAGGCACAAGTCTATTATTTATATTGATTTACAATGCAATCCAACAGCACAATAAAGCTTTAAACACTCTTGTCCCACATAAAGATAAAAAAAATTTTTTGCTTGTGTAGGATGTGTGGTTACCCACTTGCCCTCCAGAGGATTTACCCCCCTTCCTGACCAGGCCATTTTTTGCGATACAACGCTGTGTTAATATAACTGACAATTGCGCGGTCATACAATGCTGCACCCAAATGAAATTTATGTAATTTTTTTCCCCACAAATAGAGCTTTCTGTCGGTGGTATTTGATCGTCTCTGCAGTTTTTATTTTTTCCACTATAAAAATAAAAGTCTGACAATTTTGAGAAAAAAAACAATATTTTTGAATTTTTGCTATTAAACGTGTCCAGTAAAAAATGTAAAAAAAAAAACAAATTTGGTCATAAATTTAGGCAAAAATGTATTCTGCTACATGTCTTCGCTAAAAAAAAATCCCAATATGTTTAAATTAATTGGTTTACATGAAAGTTATAGCGTCTACAAATGGCAGATACTGGAATTTTTTTTTTATACTAGTAATGGCAGCGATCAGTGACTTATAGCACAACTGCAGGACTGTAGTGGGCATTCTGACACTGGGGGGAACTGACTAACTGTCACTGACATCCCCAGTGACACCTGTACAATGATCAGTGCTAAAAAAAGCACTAATGCTGTACTAATGACACTGGGCAGGAAGGGTTTAACATTTGGGGCGATCAAAGGGTTAACTCTATACTGTGTTTTACTGTGTGCTGTGTGTGTGTGTTCTACTGTGTAAGCACATTGCTTTGTATTGCTTTGCTATGCAGAGCAATGCAAAGCAATGTTCAGGAGCTGACAGGGGAGAGATCTGTATTGTTTACATACAGATCTATCCCCCGTCGGTGATACTCGGCGATCGGGAATCAGTGGCCGGGACCCGGTGATCGACAGGTGAGGCTGCCAATGGCGGCACGGGTAGGGCGCATGCGTGGCTCGTGCACGCCCACTACCCAGGAGTGCGAAATCATGTCTACTGTATACACGTGATTTTGCACAACAGTGCCACCCTGTAGCAGTATTTCTGCTATAGGGCAGCGGAAAAAACAGTTAATCAATCACTAATTGGTAAGGTAGCTGATCTGGCAGATGCTGTGACTGTGTATCTAGCTCTTTAGCTCCTTATAAAACCTATGCTCTTTGGTTATGTGAAAGGTTCAGCAATACAAGTTTTATCATCCTAAAATACATTGTTTGACCTGTGTCCCAGTCCACTTTCATTGTAATATATTCTCAGCTACATTACATGAAGCTCATGCCACATTCCAGAATTCCATACCTGGAAGCTGCTACCAAAATGCAGGGGAAGTTGCAGCTCTAGCACTCCTACCTGTTTATCCCTTTTTCAATAAATCCACCATTGGCTACAATTACAGGAATCAGCAGCTGTGAATGAAATGTTAAGAGCTTTATCATAGTATCTTCATGGTTTTACTGCAGCTGGATTTATACTTTCTGTCTTCTTAGGTCTATTATCTTGTACTGCTCCTCTTCTGCTCCAGGCACCTGATAATTGTTTTAGTTTTTAGTTTTGCAACTAGTATAAGCAGCAACAATTCTCTTTTTCATATCAATTAGTAAGTTATGGACACTGGATAGGGGGAGATTAGTGTATGGCTTGTAGCACTGGCAAGTCTAGTAAAGTAGATGTAAACCCTTACCAAATGTCTGGCAGATAGCAGGTAGCAGATATTGTTTAATCACTGGATAATATGTAAGCAGCTTGGTTAGGCTGCAGTTTAGCAGTGAGGGAGCAATATGTTTACCCTCCCTCTTTTTCTCCCATGCTAAGAGGACCATTCAAACCCAGGGGCGGACTGACCATTTGGAAACTCGGGCACTGCCCAAGGGCCCGGGGTCAGTAGGGGCCCCATGAGATGCCCCTGGTACCTTTTCCATAGGCTTTTTTGAGTTTGGGCAAGGGCACAGGGGCCTCATGATCCCCTATTGCCCGGGGGCCCCATGAGTTGTCAGTCTTCCCCTGGTGGTGGGTGTACTGTAGCACATTGCGCATGTGCTCATTTCTGTGTGTTTTTCATTTTATTGGGCTGCCCTACACTTGACAAATGTGACAAGGAAGCTCAAGTATCTTTTTGAGCTTTGTTTAACTGTGCATTTTGTGTTTTTCACACGCAAAACTGTGCATCTTCTTACCGCATTTGAGGTGCCATTAACAATTAATTACACCGAAAGCTTGTCATATGTTTTTTATATCAGTATCACAAGATATTTATGAAGACAAAAATGCAAATAAAAATAATCACTCCAAGTAATATAAGTAATATTATCATGTTAAAGTTTGTATGTGATCTGAATTGTTGGGATATCTACTTTTAACAAACTATGCTTAAGGTCTTTGAAATGCAGTGCCTGGGTACGTTTTTTTAATATTTTCTGTCTGTGTTCATGAATCTGGACCAATATCTGTCTGCAACCCCTGATTGATAGCCAGCTCTTCAATTGTCAATACCTTAGCTACTTTTTTCTATTAATTGGATTTTTATTATTTTTTTAGATAACTTTTGGATAACTTTCAGCTTGGGACGATAAAACTATGTTATGCAAATGATCATGACAATCTATTCAAGAGCTGCCTTATTCCACAGCATCCTTAAAAAAACATGTCAGAACACTGTGGACCCAAAATATAGCACACCCCTCACCCCAGGTTCACTGCAACACTCTTCTGTGTCTCCATATACTACATTTCCCAAAAATTTAGCCTATACCACTTCGACATAGTTTGGTAAAAATTGGCCAGAACCAGGACAGTATGTGAACATGATTAGACAGAATAGGCTAAAATGTGGAAACACAAACAAGGCACTGAACTTGAGGAAGGAGAATGTTTTCTATAGTTCCTCACCAAGTATGAATCATTTTTTTCCACAGTCACAAAGAATTAAGAACAGTAGGGGAGGAAAAGGAGTAAGAAAAACAGTATGAAAAAGAAGTGTTTGTGTTGGGGGAGAAGTTTCTCATTAGAAATATTTGGCTCAGCACCTTCTACCTTCATGTGGGAGCACCTCTGCAGCTCTTCTTTTAGGGTTGCCTATCATTTTTTTTTTACTGACCTGATTTGATGAAGGGTGGGCAGCCTATGGCCATACTCCTCTACACCTAATTTTGCTACCTGGCCTTCCCCTTGGCCATAGGATTTACCCTTTGAATTTAATGCCACCTGTCCATCCCCCCGTGTTGTGAAAGAGCAGGCAGCCTATGGCAGCAGCAATTTTAATGATTAAGGCTAAATATTAAAAATGCAATAACATGCCTGGGGTGCCCATAACCTGTGTATGTTTACAATGCTTACAACCTACTACTGTAAAACTGGCATTTACAAAAAAAAAGCCACTAAGATTTTGAGTAAATGACAACTTTGGCCGCATTATTCTGTTTGTAAACAAAACCGGGGATTCCGAGACCTTTATCCTAGGTGAGGTGAGGGTCTAGTATGGATGTTGATGGGGAACACCACACAAAAAAACAAATTCTGTACTAGAGTCTTCAACACTGGTATAGATTTTAAACAGGAAATCCATGCAAAAAAAATGTGGACCCCCCTCAGAGTTCATACCCAGACACTCATCTGAACATGCAACCTGGCAGGTCAGGAAAAGAGGGGGAAGCAAGCATACACATCCCTCCTGAACCATGCACTTAACATGAGGAAGGTACCTTGTCAACAGGGACCTTGGCCAGTGGTTGTGGGGGGGTCTGCTGGAGGGGGCTTATTGGAATAAGGAAATACCCTATAAAAAAGGGGAGCTCCAAAGTTTTTGACAAGTCCTTTATTAAAAATAAACCCCCCCGAATAATTCCACAGTGTACATCCATTCTCAATCACAACAAACATGGCTGCTGGCACCTGCTGCCATCTTAATAACCATAAACAGCAGAATAGGGAAGCTGTTATGTTCAGTAATGTTAAAAAATGCTACTGTATATGAGATTTGACTCCCACCAAATCACTACTGTAAATCGATGCCTATTTTATTGTTAAATATATTGTGGCTTTATGAATACGCCATATTTGCCTAGAATGTGATGCAATTTTAATGTTTTAAACAATTTTTTCCTAATAAATGTATGAATTTTAATTCATAAGGTTTAGGTGTACATTGTATACTAATCTAGGTGCGCCTTAAAGTCCAACATATAGTGGTTTCCTTTATTATTTATTACACAATTTGAAAACATATTATAACATTTTGTGATGAAATATTATTTGTAATTACCAGGAACCTCCGTATTTGTTATTCTCAATCCATATACCATTGCTTCACTGATTACTTTAAAGATATAAATCAGACACATTGGGGTTTTATTTACTAAAGCTGGAGAGTCCAAAATCAGCCTCCCTTCTGCATAGAAACCAATCAGCTTCTAACCTCAGCTTGTTCAATGAAGCTTTGGCAATGAAACCTGGAAGCTGATTGGTTTCTATGCAGAAGGGAGTCTGATTTTGGACTCTCCAGCTTTAGTAAATAAACCCCATTGTGTTTTTATATCTCCTTATATGCCATTTTGAATTTCAAAGTATACGGTGGGATGGAGATAACTTGATGTGTTTTTCAGACAGCTAGATCTGCTTCATCAGGAAGAAAGGAGGTAGATATCAATGAACTCTACTTTCTACTAAAATAAAAAAAAAATGTCCAGCCAGCCAGTATTCCCATGCAAGACTATGCATACTTGTTAATAATGTACTGATGCACTTGGACATTGTATTTACATAGTAACAGACATTTTTGAGCTAACCCACAAGAAATTGTAGTGCTTGAGCTTTCTGAGATACAAAGATCGTACAAAGAGATGCTCCGTCACAGTTTGTTTAAATATGAATGACTATAATGTCCACCTTCAAGCTCAAAAGGTTTGAACAGGGGCAGACTGACAACTCATGGGACCCCCAACTGGCTATCACAGAGGTCACATGACCTAAAAAGCCCTCCTCCGCCTCATGGCTTTTAGAACTCTTAATGGACTAGAAGGCAGCTGGCATGAAGGGGTGAAAGCGTTAATAAACCCAGGACCCTGCATTCACTATATCCTATATCCATGGAATAGAGCACTGGAAGGCTTTGTTTAGATCAGCAAATTACAACAAAAAAACTTGACATGTTTCACGTGATTTTGCATTTCCGGGTAGGGGTCATTCGTGGCCGTGGCTGTCAATCACCGGGTCCCAGCTGGTGATTACTCGCCAGTGCCAGTGATTACTGAGGATCTCCGACGGGGAGGAGAACTGTTTTGTTTACTAACAGTTCTCCTCCCTGTCAGCTTGGGCACACTGTTCTGGGCACACATTGAAGCACACAGACACTGCCCCATTGTAAAACACACCCAGCGCACAGTTAACCCTTTGATTGCCCCTCAAGTTAACCCCTTCCTTCCCTGTGCCATTAGTACAGTGTCAGTGCTTTTTTTTTAGCACTATCTGTTTTGCTGTTACTGATCCCCTGCCTGGTTTCTAATTTAATATCTTAAATGTTGGTGTCACTGGGGATGTCCAGTGAAATTAAGTCAGTTCCCCCAGTGTCAGAATGTCCACTGCAGTCCCGCTATAAGTTGCTGATAGCTGCCATTACTTGTAAAAGTTAAAAAAAATAAATAAATCTCAATATATATACCTCCATTTGTAAACGCTATAACTTTCACGTAAACCAATTAATTTACATGTATTGGGATTTTTTTTTAGCAAAGAAATGTAAAAGAATACATATTGGCCTAAATTTATGAAGACATTTGATTTTTTAAATTTTTTTACTGGACATGTTTAATAGCAAATAGTCAAAAATATTGTTTTTTCTCAAAATTGACGATTTTGTTTTTATAGTGCAAAAAATAAAAACTACACAGGCAATAAAATACCACCAAAAGAAAGCTCTATTTGTGGGGATAAAAGGACATAAATTTAATTTGAGTGCAGCATTGCATAACCACGCAGTTGTCTGTTAAAATTACACAGCGCCATGATGCAAAAAATGGCCTGGTCAGGAAGGGGGGTAAATCCTCAGAAGGGCAAGTGGTTAATATAGCATGTTGCTACTACAAAGGCATTCCAACTAAGAGTCATCTACTAAACTCTCGTATATATGACATAAGTAAAGACAGATGTAGAAAGTCTGATACATAGAATTTGTTTACATGCATCCTATAATAAACTATTGCTTTTGCAGAGAATGTTATGATTATCATGTAACAATTACTGATCGCATGCAATTGTTTTGAAAAAAATATTTGAGATGTTTTACTTTATTTTGTTCTCTATTGTTTCAGGTTTGCTTTTTGAAAAGGAGGCAATAGGAGATATTTTATCTGATGAATTTTTCTACTTTTTGTAAATGGGTCAATTACTGTTTGATGCAGTTGGTTTGACTGAATGACCTTAATTACTTTCTGTTCTGTATATGAGTTTAGTATGTTAATAAAGCTTTCCCATTCTCCAAAAAAAGTTTTACCTTTCTGTCTTTGCACGGCAATGTTTCTTTTCCATCTGTTTTGAATACATATTTTATTGTTTTTAAGAAAAGAAAATGAAAGATGAAGGTTTTGTATTAAACTATTTTTGAAGCATGAACGTCAAAAATAATGCATTTAATTATTCACTTTCTTTTCTTGTTTACCTCAGTATACTCCATTTGTATGAAAAAGGAGGACTTGGGAAATGTTTAAGGAGATAGTTGTATACCCTGTTTTATTTTTATTGGGCACATGAATTTGTATTTTTATTTTGTGATTAAAAGTGTAAAACCCCTCAAAGCAGTATTAAACGTCTGTACAAACTAACCATTTTTTTTTTAATTTCAGATAACCTATCTTGCATCTTATTGAGTAATTGGACAGAAATGTGGCAGTTAAGATATTAAATTAGAAACCAGGCAGGGGATCAGTAACAGCAAAACAGATAGTGTGTAGAATTTAGTAGACAGACAAACTAAAAATAGAAAAAAATATGAGTAGGGTTGGTCAGTTAAAAAATTATAGATCTTCTTTAAAGTAGAACAATGCTCTGCACTAAGAATCTGTGCATTCTGGCAGCTGGAATCACAAGTGGTCTGGACATTTCTTTTGTCATTTAATTGCACAACCAATGATAATATGTGGCTAGGAGCAGATAATCACCCATAGATGCAAATTGTCTCTGTTCAGGACTGACCATCTGCCCCTAACTACAGTACAATGATGATGACATTGGGTCATAGTTAAGTTAGTAAATGATAGGTTAGGTCTAACCAGTTAGGTTAGGTCATGAAGCAGGTTGTATGCAGGTACACATTTGGGTAACCTGGAATGATTTCAGTGTTTCAAACTTACTAAAACTGATGCCATTGACACGAGCCTAAAGCTCCAAGTTTGCTTTTGAGGAATATGTAAACCTATTCACTAAAAGTTTCACTTTAAATGTTTTTGAATCTTCATTCAAGCTTTCATTAAAGTAATACTCGTCATCCTCCAATAAAGGTCTTTGTTCCGGCACTTCCTGTTTTTTTTTCTCCTGCATTGTCACCCTGTTACAAAAGCGTCTGATGGAGACTATGATTGACTATTTCAACACACCCTATATATCGTTTACTGTTGTCAATAGGGATGAGGTTTGGATTCAGGTTGAACATACATTTGATCTGAACCCCAGCTGTTTGAAGTTTGGGAAAATGGCAAATCAATGTGGCCATTCTCAGCCATATATACCAACTACTATTAATTAATTTCCTGGCCTTTGAATTGTGGGAAGGTGGTCTAAAGGGGTCTGTATTGGAGACTTTACCTTTGTATCAGCCTACTCCCTAAAAAAGCCAGGGTTCACAGTGCACATCAGCATTTTTCAGTGTGTGTTGAAGATTTGGAGTAGATAGGGAGAGAAGACAGAATGTTTGCAGGGAGTGATAAATGCTACTGCTGTATAGTGCTGAAAAGTAATAAATACATTGCAATAAACAGTACTGTATTCTGGTACATTGGTGCATTGTGGTGAATTGAAATGGAGTCAAATACATCATCTTTTCACCCCCCCCCCCACACCGTGTATCCCTCACAGTGCACAGACCCAACAGACCTTTTAAGCCTGAATTTTTATGTGTGCTAGCAGTAACTTCAGTTGCTGTTCAGCTGCTGTCCCATTTCCTCCCACCATGCAGTATTTTTGGTATTTTATTGGAATTTCTATGTCTTTCAGTTAGGTTTAAAACAAATCACAAAATATAATTTGTAAGGTTGCGGTTTAGTGTTTTTGCGGTTGGGAACGGTGTTTTAGTGGTTGGCTTAACTATTTTAGGTTTTTGTTATTTGAGAGAGGTATATTTTATTTTAATATCTTTACTAAGGGGTCCTTTTTTTTCAGGGTTAGTAGCGTAAACTTGTTCTAGAAATAAGTAAAGCTGCCTTTTGGTTGCAGC